AAAGGATCCTCAATTAGCCGTTCCTATTTATTATGTATCTGTTTGAGAGAGAGTGCATATTTAGGTAGTTGTTTGAACAACATCACTCCCGGAGTATAGGCGAGAGTCATAACCGAGGGTTTAGAGGTTGATTAGAGATCATGATACCTCGGGTGCGATCTAAGTGAACTATAATGTGAATCTAGCTAGCGTAGCTTGAGAGAGTGCGTCTAGTAAATTATCATAATTACTTGAGAGAGATTTATGATAGCTAGAGAGTTCATGATTGATAGAGGCAACTAAGTCAAAGCTATAAGAAACATACAACTAATGAAATCAACAATTGGGGAAATCATAACTCTAGACCTACTTATTTAGTCTCCAACCCTTTGTCTCGTTAGTTGATAATTTTACCGCTTTGTAGTATTTGCTAGTTAATTAGTTAGAAATATAGATCTCAATCTTTATAATTTAGGAAATTTTTCAAACTTGTCTTCTTAGTGATATTAAACAGATATAGCTAAGCCTTTGGGATTCGACTTCGGACTTTTAGACCGGATTGTATTTGCAGCGACCGCTTATCCTTTTTAGGACTAGAGTTGGGCGTGATCAAATTTTGGCGCCGTTGCCGGGGAACTAACGGTGTAGTTGTAGCTGTATATATTGCTAGGGTTCAAGTTTGAACTTTTAGTTTGTTTTATTTTATTTTATTTTATTTTTTTTTTATAAATGTTGATTTGAGAAACATGGCATCTTGGAAGTATGAGAATTTAGGTGTAGATAATTCTACTATTGATCTCCATACATATTGTGAAGGAAACCACCCGTGGCAAAATTTTCAAGACGTTCCTAAGAGCGAGTTATGTGCACCAACTCAATCTTATTTGTGGAATGTGTGTGATGTGTGTGGTGGTAAAAATGGTCACCTTCATGGTTGTGCTTATATTTCTTATTTTCCCCCAACCTCTTACTATGATGGTTCTACCTTTTCTTGTGAAGTTAATAGGAACAAAGAACCTGGGAATGCAGACCTGAAGGAGATCAAGGATATGCTAAAGTGCCTTCTGGAACAAAACAATGAGAAACAATTGCACATAGAAAGGCAAGAGGCAACTATTCGCAAGTTGGAGGCTCAATTGAGTCAAGTGGTTGGAGCTTTTAATTCTCAACAAGCCAATATTGAGGATAGCAGCCAAGAAGAGCATGAATTTGACGTGTTAATTGGGGAGGTCAGAGTAGAACATCAACAACCTAGCCAACTAGAATTTGAGGATGTCAATGTTGAATAAGTAATACTAGAGTCAACCAAGGACGTTGAAGATACAAATTTAGTTGACTCTAGTGTGATTGGTGTTGAGGAGGTTAAAAATCTTGAAGTTCATGTATTTGAGCGCGTTGGGCCTCATTCCAAACACTTCTCTACATTATGTTCAGACGGTGAAATGGAAATTCACCCTTATGAGCATAAAAAGGAGTTCAAGGAAGAGGTAGATGAGCCTTATATTTTGGATTTCTCAAGGCCGTCTAGGCAAGGTGACACTCCTCGGTCGAGAGCCAACAAGTGCATAAAATTTTATCTAATTTTTGGCTCACAAGAATTTGTACCGCCCCAAGAGCATAATCATAAGCTTGAAGCAAAACTTGGGGTTCAATTCATAAGTTTGAGGTGGAGGCAAAAAGTGTTTCGCGTCGTGCCGCGGCGTTAAATCAAGCGCTTGTTGGGAGGCAACCCAGCTTTATTGCTTTCTTTTATTTATTTTTTATTTTTTTAATTGTATTATTTTTGTAGTGTCAATTTTTTTTATTTACTTTTTAGGAGCATGGAAATCAAAGGTATTGGAAGGATGCAACAGCAAATCAAGTGGTTGGAACTAAGTGTGAGGTACCCGCACGAAGGACCAAGCCTGGGAGAAGTCTGAGTACCCCATGAACTGCTAGTGCTTCGGCCTTTGGCCTACCAGGGAGTTTCTCTTACTCTCTTATGGTTATGCAGTGCATTGGGGACAATGCACAATTTTAAGTGTGGGGAGATGAGATTGTCTGGGTGATTTTTCATGCTACTTTTGCTGTATTAGTTTAATTAAATAGTATTTTTTTTAAAAGATTGGACTTTTCCCGACGATGGATCTATTAGACAATTTTCTTGAGGTATTTAATTCTAAAGAAAAAAAACAAAAAGATTTTCTTTGTAGGTAGTGTAATAATTCCCCCTTGGTTTTTCTTTGGGCCACGGTTCTTTTCCAAGGGTTTTATTTGAACCGGGTGTAGTTAGTTTTTTTTTTTTGGGGAGTAGGAGCCATTGTTTTGTGCTTTGAATTGAAGCAATATCTCTTGACTTGGTTATGCCTTGAGAATAGTGAGTACTTTGGCTGTGACGCTTAGGCTCAGTTTTTGACTCTTGTATAAGTACCTTAAATTGTATGATCTTAACTCTGCTTAACTGCTTTGACTAGAGTGTCTTGATGAAACCAATCTTGAGTGAGTTATGTGCCATGTGTGTGTAAGGATTTGTTATATTCTGTGCATTGCATTTGATGCCTAGAACTTGCCCCGTGTATTTGCAAAGCGAAATAGTAGTTTTATCCAGTCTAGGAAGTGATATAGGCATTTCTTTGTTGAGCCAGATATGAATATTTTACCTGCCTAATTGTTATGTATCGTAGTTAACCCATTTGAGCCTCTAATTCTATTTCTTTGGCAACCACATTACAAGTCTTACCCAATTGTTTGAATGGACTATCTATTTGAACCTTTTAACCTCTCATAAGCACTTGAATTGTGATGATTTATGTAAAAGTTAAAGTGTGGGGTGGTTGGTTTGGCTTTTGAGTGGAACTAATAAAATCAGGAGAAAGGTGCACTGTTTTGAACAAGTAAGAGCCACTTGAATTGAAAAAAAATATAGTTGTATTGCTGTGAAAAAAAAAGTATTTCTTTAATAAGTGGTGACTCTTGTTGTAATTGTACTTAAAGAAGTATGGGGTAATATACATTGATGTGAAGGTGGAGTTTGGTTCGACATAAGTATGGGGTTTGAATGTTAAAGTATATGTATTAAAGTGCTTAGGGAGGTGTAGTCACTCTTATATCTAAATATATCCTACCCGTCCCGTAGCCTACATTACAACCAAATAAAAGTCCTAATTGATCCTAGATTGAATGAGCTCGATTAGTGGAGTAGTACACTACGGGCAAGCTTATGGTGCATCTTTTGTGGCATATGAATGTTATTTCTGAGAGTGAGTGAATTCTTTCTATCTTGAGTTCCTAAGTGTTCTTAAATTTTATTGTGTGGAACTAATCTCTTGTGTTGTGAGGGCACTTGATTCATGAAGGAAAGGTAATGTCAGTGACCTCTATGTTAGAGTAAGTAGGTGATTTGTGAATAATGCGTGGCACTTGTGAGTCAAATCTTGAGGTGAAGATGTTACGCTTTTGTGCTTAGTCTATTTTAAATACTCTTGGTGTGCTGCATTAGGAGAATTGTTTAAAAAGGTCGTGTCTATAAAAAAAAATGTAGTTTGATTGCTCGAGGACGAGCAATGATTTAAGTGTGGGTGTTGATGATAGGATATAATTACGTATTTTAGTCGCTTATTACACTCTAAGTTACTGCACTTTAGTTGACTTTCCGCTTTAATCGCTAGTGTTTTGCACTAATTGTGTGTTTTATACCTTGTAGGTGTGATTCCGAGCTATATAGATGTTATGGAATGAATTTAAGTGATTTGAAGCTTTGAAGTCTGAGTAAAAGCTCAAGGAATTAAGCCGGGATCGTGTTCGGGGGTCAAATTTGATAGTTGAGAACAAACGAAGACTCGAGTAGGCATATTGCGCACTGTCTAGTAAAATGCACATAACGTTTTGCTCAGAACTCCATTTGGGCACCAAAATATATAGTTGGAAAGGTAACTCAAAGGGATACAACTTTCATGTTTTACGTTTTTCCAAATTCTGAACAGAACAGGGTGAAAAATGCGGTCGATACCGCGACCGCGGAACTGACCGCGGCAGAAAATCAGAGAGCTTGTCTAGCCGCGGTCCTACCGCGTTTTGGCCGCGGCCGAGCCGCTCCAGGCGTCAAAAAAAAGTCCTATTTCGTCCGGTACAAGGTTATTTCGGCCCTACACTATTCCAACTTGTATAAAATGGGTCCTAAACCTATTTTGAAGAGAGGGGGATTTATTTTTGGACATAGATTCGACCTAAGGAGGCAAGAACACATTGGGGGCAAGGAGGAGAATTCTTCTACGAGTTTTTCCTTCCTCTTCCTATTTTTATTGTTGTTTATGATTTTTAGTATTGTAGTTTTACATGCTAGTATGAATAGCTAATTCGTTTTCTAGGGTTTTGATGGAACCTTTTGGGGATGAATTGGTTGTTATATTAATATAGTTTTGAGTTAGTTGTTTCTCTATTTGTTCAACTTCGTTTTTATTTTGGTTAACTGAAAGGATCCTCAATTAGCCGTTTCTATTTATTATGTATCTGTTTGAGAGAGAGTGTATATTTAGGTACTTGTTTGAACAACATCACTCTCGGAGTATAGGCGAGAGTCATAACCGAGGGTTTAGAGGTTGGATTAGAGATAACGATACATCGGGTGCGGTCTAAGTGAACTGTAATGTGAATCTAGCTAGCGTAGCTTGAGAGAGTGCGTCTAGTAAATTATCATAATTACTTGAGAGAGATTTATGATAGCTGGAGAGTTCATGATTGATAGAGGCAACTAAGTCAAAGCTATAAGAAACATACAACTAATGAAATCAACAATTGGGAAAATCATAACTCTAGACCTCCTTAATTTAGTCTCCAACCCTTTGTCTCGTTAGTTGATAATTTTACCGCTTTGTAGTATTTGCTAGTTAATTAGTTAGAAATATAAATCTCAATCTTTATAATTTAGGAAATTGTTCAAACTTGTCTTCTTAGTGATATTAAATAGATATAGCTAAGCCTTAGTTCTCTGTGAGATTCGACTCCGGACTTTTAGACCGGATTATATTTGCACCGAGCGCTTATCCTTTTTAGGACTAGAGTTGGGCGTGATCAAGTATCATATTACATAAAACATCTATATGAGATTTAAACAAACATTTAAGCAAACTAAGTTTCATTATAATAAACAGATACAGGCTCCCAGCTTCTCTGATCATTTAAAGGTTCAAAGGGTACCTGGATATCAAAACAAAGCAAAAATGGATTAAGGATTCAGCACAACAAGCTAATGAAAATAGCAGCAAATATCAGCAACACCCAGCCTTGATTCAACCCATATTCAACCCAGAATTCCAGTAGAGATTTTCTAAACTCTTGATAAAGGAAAAAATCAGAAGTAATCTAGCCAATTTCTCGATGAAGCAATGCAGAAACTTTTGGTTCTTTTTTAGGGTTCCGAATCTGTATTTTATAGTGAAAGAAAGGTCTATATATAGCCATTGAGGAGTGCCATGTGCTGAAGAGAATAATGGAATCATTCCTTCAGCCACAAGGCATCTTTTTTAACCAACTTGGACAGCTGGTTGTCCCTCATTAGTTTATGCATGTTGTGCTAACCAAATGAAGCCAATTGTCCCCTATTCTAGAACCTTCCAGTAGGTTCTTTTACCCTACTCAGTTTACCCACCTTTCAAATAAACCCCTTAAGTTTCTTTATTGTTCAATTAGGACCCTAGGAGTTTCTGCTAGCTAACAAACCAAGACTAACAAACACAAATCCAGAATCAAAAAGAAATAAAGATCAAAGGAACAAATCCCAATTCAATTAAACCTTTAACTAAACCTAAATTCTTTTAGCATGAACTGAAATCGAAAATGAGACAAAAAGCAAAAATAGTTAAACCTAGCACTAACATGAGTCTAGAATTAATCAATAATGAACCATTTTCTAAGAATTAAACCTATTGAACAAACCAATATTATTATACCAGGGAATCATAACAACAAAAGGAAACTAGCATACTGATTTTAAATTGGACTAACTAGACACAATCTAAACCAATATTAACAAACCCTAGCCGAAAAATTGACCAACTGATGATTATGATGAAAACGCATAATTTAATGAACCCTAAAACTACCGACTAAACACGTCCAAAGACTGAAATAGGGATGACTCTTAAAAATGAATAACAAACAGATTTATAAACTGAAAAATAACCTAAAAGAAAACTGACTTGAATATTGAAGAAAATGGAAGAAAAATGGAGGGGTAAATGGTGAGACCTTACCATTTGTGGAGTAAAAAGCAACCAAGACAGCTTGTGATGTCGTCTCCGCCTTGATTGACCAACAGAGGTCTTTTCCTTCAATGGATCCGGTCTTTCGTGGCTTTGACCGAATCTCCTGGAAAGAAAAGACTCCTGAAAGCCTAACCCGCGAAGGAAAACGACAGAAAAATCTTGGGACTCGAACAATGATTGAAACAGCAACTTGATGCTTTTCTTCGTAACAAACAGAACTCATTCTTGGATTTGAAATTGCGGAGTTTTGTAGGGTTGTTTGGGGAAACCAGTGAGATATTAAGGGTGAGTAGAGTGAGGAGATGGTCTGGTGATGTTTTGGGTTGATTTGGGTGAACTAGGGTTTTGGGGTTGAACTTCAGATCTGAAATTGGTTAATTTGGATAGTGTCTTTTGGGGAAATTGACGATGGATTTAGAAAGAGGAGGGGACGAGGGTTGCATGGTATCAATTTGGGCAAGTTTGGAGCACCGGAACCGCCATGAGGCAATTTCCGGTGGGTGGTTGATGGCGGAGGCGGCGGGAAATTTAGGGCGGCTAGGGTTTGGCTTCTTCAGATGAGAGAGTTGAACTGAGTGGTGTATGGTGGAGGGGGGTTGGACTGTGTTAGGACAGTTATAAAGGTTTAGGCTAATCAGTTCCGAACCGTTGGATCACAAGGATCCAACGGCTGTGATCAAAGGACGGTAGAGCGGGGTCGTTTGGTGTAGTGGGGGACTGCACCGGGTAGGCTGGGTTTGGGCCTGGGTTCGGGGCAGATTTGGGGCAAAAAAAAATTGGGCTTCAGCGATTTAAAGGGCTCAATTCGAGTTTTAAAACAAGCTTTCCCCCCTTTTTCCCATTTCCTTTTCTTTTGTTTTCTTTTTCTTTTCTTAAATTAACAAAAATCCTAAATTAAATTCCTAAATTAATCTAAATTGTAAAAATTAAGCTAATCATCCAATAAAATTTATAACAATTAATTAACCCTAAATCAAAAAAAAAACTACTAATCTAAAACATAAAAGCTAAAAATAAAAAAGCGACCAATTTTGTGATTTTTATCTTAATAAAACAAATAATTCACTAATTAATCCTAAAATATGAAAACAAAATCTCAATTCAATGCATGGTATTTTTGGTATTTTTTCATGATTTTAATAAAAGTAAACATGCACAGAAATGCAAACAATTAACAAAAAATCCTACAAAAATCCTATAAAATTGCAAACAATTGGAAAAAATCTATTTCTTTAATTTGTAGGAGTATTTCACATAGGGCAAAAATCACGTGCTCACAACGATCAAAACATCGTCGGCACATTCTACACTAAGGTGTGACCATCTCCTTTCTCTTTCAATTACATTCTACACTGACCTGAGTGCAGGTGTCCGATCGAAACGACCAAAGCACTCTCCAACTCGAAGGCCTTAGGTTTCAAAAGCATGCGTTGCACTCCTTTCCTTCGACCGGGTTTTTATCCCAAAAAGGATTTTACCGGCAAGATTTTTAACGAGGCAACATCCATATGCTACTTAAGAAAGACTCAACAAAGTATCCAAGGCTTCTTTTGCAATCAACCTCGAATACTGGGGGGCTACCCCCCCCCCCCCCTCCCCCCCCCCGGAAGGTCACCTACTCGGAAAAACCAAGATACACCGAATGGGGTCTCGATAGGAAAATGATGTACCAGGCCCCTGATAGCAAAAACATGTATACTTGTACCAAGTAATCGAAGAATACTTTCCATCAAAGCATTTCATGCTTCAATCGAAGAATACTTTCCATCAATCGAAGATCACCTACTCGGAGAAGCCAAGATACGCCGAATGGGGTCTCGACAGGAAAATGATGTACCAGGCCCCTGACAGCAAAAACATGTATACTTGTACCAAGTAATCGAAGAATACATTCCATCGAAGCATTTCACGCTTCAAAAGAGACTTGGTATTTTTGCAAAAACGGCTCCTCTGTCAAAAATATCTTGAACACTTGGGGACTGGCGTCGACGACTCAATACAATGCGACCCCCGGGTCGGAGCTCCTAACTCATAAGCCCTCAATGAGGCAACACTGAGATCACAAAACAGCTCCAGAGCCAAAAATGTCCCGAACACTCGGGGACTGGCGTCAAAAACTCAAGTCCACATGACCCCTGGGTCGGAAACTCCGGAATCGTAAGCCCTCAATGAGGCAATACCAAGTTTACAAGTAATGGCTCTCGAGTCGAGAAACCCTCCACGACTCGGGGACTACCGTCAATCGCCATCTCCATCATAATGGCTCCCGAGCCAAGATATCCTCGATAGCTCGGGGATCGACATCTCCATCATAATGGCTCCCGAGCCGAGAAATCCTCGATAACTCGGGGACTGTCGTCAATCGCCAATCGCCACTTATCAAAAACCCGAGGCCATAAGACCTCAAGCGGGCAAACTCGATCTCGTAAGATCTGTATAAGGTAACAACAATATCTGTAAGACCTCAAGCAAGGCATGAACCACACTTGTACCAAGTGGCAATATCTGTAAGACCTCAAGCAAGGCATGAACCACACTTGTACCAAGTGGCAATATCTATGGTACAAGTGGCAATATCAGTAAGACCTCAAGCAAGACATGAACCACACTTGTACCAAGTGGCAATATCTGTAAGACCTCAATCAAGGCATGAACCGTACTTTTACCAAGTATCTAAAATTGTAAGACCTCAAAGGCATGTAAAACTTGTAAGACCTTACTAAAGGCATAAACCCGATCTCAAAGTTAAGGCTATATATCGAAATTCTAAGACCCCTGTCACACCTCCTTTTTTACACACCACCCCGAAGGATAGTGTATAAGGGAGTTTTTTCACTTTAAGTGACATTATTCGAAATGGGATTATTTATTCATTTTTTGTTCAGAGTCGCCACTTGGGATAGTTTATTTGGTGTCCCAAGTCACCGGTTTATTTTAAATCCCAAATCGAGGAAAATTTCGACTTTCCTTTTGAAGTCTGCGAACCAGAAATTCTGAATAAGGAATTCTGTTAACCCGAGGGAAGGTGTTAGGCACCCCCGAATTCCGTAGTTCTAGCACGGTCGCTTAAACTATCATAATTGGCCTATTATCTGATTTTATTACATGTTTTAGCCTATGGTATATTTTAACTTTTTAAGCCGCTTTTAATTATTATGATTTTTTAAGGAAGATTTCAACGTCATCTAAAACACGTCTTTGGACCACGCCACATGAAATGCACCCGCAGTCCGCGACACATTTTATTTAACGTTGTTGAGATTTGGATTTGGGTCACATGAAATGCACACCCGAGTTTAGGAAAATAGCTTTTAAAATAGCGCGCCTAAAGCAACTACGCACTTTCAACTTTGCGAGGGCCATGGAAAATTCAACTAAATGGCACGCCTCAATTTTATTTCAAAAGATTGTACTCAACTAAAGCAAACTACGGATGTTCATAATTATTTTCCTAAATTTGAGATTATTGTAAGGCCAAGAGTTATGGAATTATTGTGACAAAAGTGATGTACTCTAGTTTTATGAATAATACTTAAAAATTAAAAGTCAGTTGTTCAAAATTGCAACTCAAAAATTATGCATAAAATTTACCAATGCTTAAAATGATCGATTGGACCATAAACCTTACCATTTGCTGCCAACCAAAAATGTAGCGGCTGAATTGTATGGAGCGGGTGAACTGATTCCTTTTGAAAGGTTCTCTTGGGCGAGGATTGTACTGAGAAACATTTGATTGGGGATTGTATGGAGCTTGGTAAGGAAGGGCATTTCTGGGAGGTAGAACTCGATTTTGTGTATAATATTGTGGCCACGTGCAAGGTTGCGCATTCATCACCGCGTACCAACAAAACCAACCACCTGAATAAAACCTGGCTAATTTGTTCACACAAACAACCTCATTAGTTTTGAGACATTTAACATATAGGAAATCGCACGTTGGGATGCAATGCACCTAACAATTAAACACTTCTACCATGTGTTTGAACGGTTGCACGTTTCATCCCGGCCTTAACTAACTTTTTCAGTATGGACCTCTTTTCTTCATCTTTGCCTCTCTCTTTTTGCCTTCCTTTTTTTTTCTTTTCTTCTTTTATTTTTCTCTCTTTTTTTTTGTTTTTGCCACTCTTTTATTTCTGGTCGCTCTTTTTTTTTTCTTCTTTTTTTTTTCACTATTTTTCTTTTTCTCTTTTTCACTCAATGTTTCTTTTTCTTTTTTTCAAGTTTATTTTTTCACTCAATTTATTTCTATGGCTATGATCGAATCCGATGGGGATTGCCTACGTATCATGACCCCGCATGAATCAGATCTTGCGTAGTTCGGGAAGAATTGGGAATTGAGTAAACTAACTCTTTTTTTATATATAAAACTCAAATCATGGAGCTTTAAGGCAAAAGAAAAATATTTTTGATTTTTTGATTTCTTTTGGAATTTTCTAAAAAAATGCTTTAAAAGAAGAAAGGGAATTTTTTTTTGGATTTTGATTTTATTTTTAAAAGAAAGACTTCTAAAAATTCCTTTTCTTTTGACTGGAACTTTGGGAATTTCAAAAGTAAAATATTTTTTGGTTGAATTTTCATTTGTTTTCTCTTTTTTTTAAGGAAGAAAGAAAATATCTTTGGATTTTGGATGTAACATCTTAATTTTCGAAACAGGGACTTTTTTTTAAAGAAAATATTTTGAATTTCTGAGCTTTTATTTATTTACAAAAGTACTTCTAAAGAAAAGCAGACATATTTTTTTGGACTTCAATATTTTTCAAAATTCCTTTTTATTGACATTTATGAAAGAAAGACATCTAAGGAGTATTTTTTGGATTTTTGTTTTGATTTTTTTTTGGAATTTTTTTTTTTTGAAAAATACTTTAAAATGAAGGAAACCCGTATTTGGATTTTGTTTTTTATTGATTTTCTTTTTTTTCGCATTAGAGACATTAGAAAGAAGGAAACCATTTTTGAGTTTAAAAACTACTTTTTTTTTAATTTTTCTAAGGAAAGATTTCTAAAGAAAGAACAAAAAAAATATTTTTGGATTGTTTGAAAATTGGGGTCGGAACCGATGAGGTTTGCCAACGTATCTCACATCCCGTGAAAATCAGACCCGCGTAGTTCGGTCAGTTTTGACGGAACAAGGGAAACATGACCTTGAAAATTTTGGCTCGATTTGAAATGACTTTTCTTTTTTTCAGAATTTCGGCAAAGTTTCAGAATTTTCTAAATACCTACCTCTCATTTTTTCTTTTTGATTTTCTTTTTCATTTTTTTTTTTTTTGATTTTCTTTCCTTATTCTAGAAGTCGGTCAACATGCAAGCCGAAACAAACAGATGCGCAAGTAGCACGTAAGATGCATCAGGATGGTCTTTTTAATTTGGGTACACCTGTCCTAGACGGACCCAACCCCTGTGTTGAGTCCCCTAAGTCAAATGCACGTGATGCAAACAAGCGTTCCTACTAGGGATCCGGCATGAGGCTTTGTTATACTAGGTTTAAAAACCTGGGTCTATTGTTCTAGACCTGGCTTACCCGAGCGGACAGCTCGAGCCGAGAGGGGGCAGCGTACCGGGAATACAGAAGCTTCGCCGGCTTTGCAACTTGTCCGAACCTCGTTCTAAAATTGGGATAAGACTCTAACAGAAAAGAAGTTACACGAAGTGTACACTTCCCAGATGATTTAGAAGACTCAGAGAGAAGAGGGTTTCGTAGCAATTTATATACAGTCCAAACAATATCAAAGCGGTAAAAGCGGCATTTAGCACATTAGGCTCAAACATGTAGAAAAATCAGATAATAAAACAAGCCAACTATTACAGTTATTCTAAGCTCGAATTCTTAAACACTGAACCGAAGCTCTGGGTTTGGATCCCCAGCAGAGTCGCCAGATCAGTCATACCTCCTTTTTTACACACCACCCCGAAGGATAGTGTATAAGGGAGTTTTTTCACTTAAGTGACATTATTCGAAATGGGATTATTTATTCATTTTTTGTTCAGAGTCGCCACTTGGGATAGTTTATTTGGTGTCCCAAGTCACCGGTTTATTTTAAATCCCAAATCGAGGAAAATTTCGACTTTCCTTTTGAAGTCTGCGAACCAGAAATTCTGAATAAGGAATTCTGTTAACCCGAGGGAAGGTGTTAGGCACCCCCGGATTTCGTAGTTCTAGCACGGTCGCTTAAACTATCATAATTGGCCTATTATCTGATTTTATTACATGTTTTAGCCTATGGTATATTTTAACTTTTTAAGCCGCTTTTAATTATTATAATTTTTTAAGGAAGATTTCAACGTCATCTAAAACACGTCTTTGGACCACGCCACATGAAATGCACCCGCAGTCCGCGACACATTTTATTTAACGTTGTTGAGATTTGGATTTTGGTCACATGAAATGCACACCCGAGTTTAGGAAAGTAGCTTTTAAAATAGCGCGCCTAAAGCAACTACGCACTTTCAACTTTGCGAGGGCCATGGAAAATTCAACTAAATGGCATGCCTCAATTTTATTTCAAAAGATTGTACTCAACTAAAGCAAACTACGGATGTTCATAATTATTTTCCTAAATTTGAGATTAAGAGTTATGGAATTATTGTGACAAAAGTGATGTACTCTAGTTTTATGAATAATACTTAAAAATTAAAAGTCAGTTGTTCAAAATTGCAACTCAAAAATTATGCATAAAATTTACCAATGCTTAAAATGATCGATTGGACCATAAACCTTACCATTTGCTGCCAACCAAAAATGTAGCGGCTGAATTAATCCTTAAGAACCCAAATCAACTTAACTAATGATCAAAGGCCCACTATTATTCTTTTAGGTCGTCCCAAATTCAAATTATCATTTAAGGTTAATTCTCAAATTGATACAGCAACCTTACCAAGAAATTGACTCATACCCCAAAGATAGAACACGAATAAACTTCAGTAATAGAACTCAAAAGAAACCAACATATCAAAAATTATTACAAACAAATATCAATCAATTTCCAACACAAGTTGTTAACACAAATAGAAGTAAAGTTTCAGGCATTTACATTAAAAGAAACAGTAGAATAAAGATTAGAGAATAGGACCTCAAGATGCTTCTCCCCCAAAAGTGAAAAAAGCTACTGCCTATCGGACCAGCGGACGGAGTTATCCAACGGAAACTCGCCTTCGACCAGAGAATCTTGGCGACGTTGGGAACTCGAACAGAGCTCGAATGCGACCTCGGCAGCGACCTCAAACTCGATTGAAAATGGTGTTTTAACGGCTGGTTTTGAGCGTGTTTTGTTGGAAGAAATTGGGGCTATTTTTGAGGTTAAGGAGCTGTTCGTCTTGGTGGTTGTTCACGGTTGTTTCAGCTGTTTTTGGGTGGCTGTTTAAGTGGGAAAATGGAGCTCTCTTTGTTGGTTTTTATGGAGTTTTCAAGGCATATTCATGGAGGAAAACAGGACTTTTGGAAGTTGTTTGGAGCTGTTGTTACGAGGAAGAGAAGCCAGCGAGAGGATGGCCAAATTTTTTCAGCTGCTTCTTCTGTGCGTTTTTTTTTAAGCTGCTGGCAGCTTTTTTCTTTCAGCTCTAGGGTCCTAGGGATTTTTCGGGTCTTGGTTTATTTTAGGTGTTAGATACTATTATATAGGGGTAGGGATTAGGTTAGGTGTTTGGGCCTAGGAATTATGGGCTTGAAGCTTGGACCTTTATAACTAGCTTCGCTTAAAACTAGCCTAATTAATTAGAAATCTATCCATATAGAAATATTATTAAAAATATTAATTAGCCCTACTTAAATGAAATAACTGTTAAAATAAGACTGACTGTTAAAATAAACTATTTTTTGGTATTTTTCAAGGTTAAAAATGACTAACAAAACATTAATGGAACAATTTTTTTTTGTAATTTTCATTTTTCTTGTAATAAAATAAAGTAAAAGAGTAAAAATTAGTTGAAATAGCTATATTATGCCTAGATTAAATATTTATGTGCTAAAATATGAAAAATCTTGGGAAGGGTCAAAAATCACATGTCTACAACCCCTAAAAGGCATACCCTCGATATAGACGCCGAAACTACTTCACTCGGGACTAAATGGCTCCGGCCAAACACAAATGACAACGATCACAAGGTTGTACCAGCCAAACAAACGCGACTCGAGGACGCCCGACCGTCGCTACAAAATCAAAGGCCTTCAATTACTTTGAATATACTTCGGAAAGAACTGGTTAAATAGGCTACCCTCGACATAGGCAAAAGAGCTTCGACCATGTCAGCTCCTAAACACTAGCTTCGAGATACTCAGCCTCCGAGCCAAACCTCCCGAGGTGCTCGATTATCGCCATATGACGACTCGCAATCAAGATTTCTTATTAAAATCGTCGAAGAGTCAGGCAAACACTTTCAAAAAATCCTTATCGAGGGAAAAATAAAGCCTACATAAAAGGTCGCATCGACCCAAGGCGTAAGAGCCATTGTCGCCAGCGCACATAAAAGGTCGCATCGACCCAAGGCGTAAGAGCCATTGTCGCCAGCGCACATAAAAGGTCGCATTGACCCAAGGCGTAAGAGCCATTGTCGCCAACCCACATTCAAGGTGGCATCGACCCAAGGCGTAAGAGCCATTGTCGCCAGCCCGCATGAAAGGTCGTACCAAACCAATGCGTAAGAGCCTAAGGGCCAGCTTTAAATCAAAAACTTGAGGGTCGAATGAGCTCGAGTCGAAACCCTATTCGGAGACTGAACCCAAAACAGTTAGCTAAATCTGCCTAAGAGCAAAAGCATAAGAGCCATTGTCGCCGCTTACACTAAAGGTCGCATCGACCGAGCGCGTAAGAGCCTACGGGCTAGCCTAATGAGCCCCAGGGCCATACCACGAATCTAAGGATTCCTCTCAACTCAAAGACTAGTTCTCTGGCTAAAATCAAGGCAAAAAGAAATGCAGGAGAAACAAAACAGTGAGGTCTCCTCTTTATATGTACATGCGAAAAAGTACAAGCTCCATTTACAACATACTTTGAAAGTACTATGTACAGAATCAGAAAAGGAAATCTACATCCCCCTTTGGGACTATGGCCCGGCGGCCCCATCCTCGCCATCCTCGGCATCGGATAAAAGGAATTTAGCATCATATTCTTTCGCCTTCGCCTGCTTGATCTCTTCTGAGAGGTCGAAGCCCCTGGCATGAATTTCCTCGAGGGCTTCCCTCCAAGGTCTGCACCTCACGTACTCTTTATTACTGCTCTTACGGTCGAGAGCCTTCCTCATCTCAGCTCGAGCATCAGTAGCGCCCCTCAAATAGGCCGCCACTTTCTGGTCAGCCTTAGCGCGGCTAATTACAGCCTCAGCCTGGGCATTCACAACCTTGGCCTTCGCCTTCAAAAGCTCGGACTCGAGCCTTGTGATCATATTCGCTTGAACAGAATCATTTGCATGAGCATTCCAGATTTGCACCTCGAGGGCGGAAGCCTTAGCCAAAGCACCCTCCCTGGTCGCAACTTGGGCATCTACCTGAGCCTTCAACTTGTTAAACTCACGTTTGACCCGGCCAACTTCGCCCCAAAGTCGTTCCAGCTCCTCCGTTTTGTTCTCCAACTGAAATATCAAAGTATTGATCTCCGAAAGTGGAAAGGGGAGCATACATCGACATAAAATGCAGGAATACCTGTCTTTCGAGACGGCTTTTGAAGTTTCGACTTCAATCCGCCTCGCTCCGCAAGTATACCAGCTCGCCCTCCTTTTTTGCACAAAGGAGCCTAAGGGATTTCTCCCTATCCAAAACTTTCCGCAGCCTGGCTTCACGACGAAGTAGCTCGGACTTAAGCTTGTCAAAGGCCTGCAAAGGAAAACTCAATAAGAAAGGGAGGGCGCGAAACCAAAAGAAGCCTGTACCGGCTACCAAAGCTTACCGTAGAGATAAGCCGCCGAGCCTCACCAAAGGTCGAGCATACATCCGACGGCATAGTTTCCCCCGGAGTGCCTTCAGTGTGAGAAGAGGAAGGCGTAGAATCATCCTCGTTCCTCGAAGTACCTTCGACGGGAACAGGGAATGTTCTTTCGAGAATAGAAGCCTCCGAAGTCGGAAGCTCGATCGACTCATCTCTTTTGAACCTGAAAGGAGGACTCGCCCCAACACGAGCCTCCTCACACATCAAAGGCTCCTTACGTTTATGATCAATCCTCGGCCTTGAGGCTGGCGATCTCTCCTCCTCCCCCAGGGGACACAACCTCATCTCAGGAAAATCTCCAACACCTGCGGTGGCAGAGTTAAGTGCGCTAAAAGGGAAAGTACCTTTCCTGAAAAAATGAGCCACCGAGCACCTATCGTGATGTTTTGCTTCCCATCTGCCCCTAGACAAAGCTCGCCACTTACGCTCGTCATAAGTCGAATGGGTCGCCAACACCCGAGCCCAATCCGGCAGATCAAGGACCTCTCACGGCATCCATGAAATTGTTGTAGAAGAGGAAAGGAAGGCGCATCTACGGAACACACCTTCGCCATAATTAAAGAACTATGAAGGCACGAGTGTACCACATACATGTATAATTCCGTTCCTCAGGGAATGGCGTAAACTCCACGGGGATAGTATTAACAATCCGTACTCGGACGAATCGGCTCATCCACTCCCGGTCTCCGTCTTCTTCATCATCAACAACGAAAGGCATGGTCAACCGGCATCGTAAGGTTAGCAGACCTCGATGGTGAAAAGGCCAGCACAGCCTAATAAGATGACTGAGCGTGAATTCAAGCCCTGCCTTCTCCGCAAAGAACCTCATCATCAACACTATCCATCAGAAAGAAGTTAGGCTCCAGGAAGCCATCGGCATCATTGCAAGTCGCGAGGTGGTAGCCGACCTTGAGGACCTCCATCAAAAAGAAGTTAGGCTCCAGGAAGCCATCGGCATCATTGCAAGTCCCAAGGTGGTACCCTACCTCGAGGACCTCCATCAGAAAGAAGTTAGGCTCCAGGAAGCCATCGGCATCATTGAGTGTCACGAGGTGGTACCCGACCTCGAGGACCTCCATCAAAAAGAAGTTATGCTCCAAGAAGCCATTGGCATCACTATAAGTCCCGAGATGGAACCCGATCTCGAGGACCTCCGCCAAGAGGAAGATTGGTTCCAGAAAGCCGTCAATGTCATTACAAGTCCCAAGATGGTACCCGATCTCGAGGATCTCCACCAAAAGGAAGATAAGCTCTAAAAACCTACTCATATGGGTTCAGCCTCGAAGCATCTGAGCAACCCCCACGGGGTTTAAGAGACTAAGTCTCATTCCAAAGGTGCGAAGCCCTACTCTTATTCAACTCAAGGTCGTGGGTCCCGATGGTCCGAGTTTGCCAATCCAATACGGGCTCGGTCCAAGGATCGACAAAGGCTGCGGCGGGAAATCGTGTCAGTCAGTCAAGAACCGAAGGAAATGCTCGCACTCGGCCTCGATATTCGCACCCATCGGTGGAGTCATGCGTCTGGGTTCTCCATAAATATAGGTCAAAAAAGATATAGCATAAATCAGAGGCAAATTGAAGAAACATCTTTGTGTTCATAAGCACATGATTACAAAGGCCCACGCAGGTGAATAATTCTGGAAAAGTGGACTGACGGGACGTCTCAGTTATCGCAAAGGCTTACATCATCAATATAACATCGTCACGGGAAGTTCGAAGAGATGGATATCAAAGTCTTTTCTTATCGTTCCACTCTAAGAAACGCGGGGACTATCTATATACGATGAAATTGGAGGGTCCAATTTCCCATCAACGCGACACCTCAAAAACACGTCTCAAAGGCTCGAGACTACGGCCGAGTTTCCTTCCTCGAGGGTCGTCGACGCTCGACCTCGGGGCAGTATAGACCGATGGTCTCGATGGATCAAAGTGGAGTTCCTAAGGCGCGTACATATTGCTGGCCAAGTCTGGTGGGCTAGTCAGAAGAGCGAATCATGGCAGTAACTAGCTGTCCCATCTCAATATCTTTGCAATAAGTGCATTTGTACTATGTTGGGATTTCCCCTCCTATATAAAGGGGATCCTTGTCATTTTGTAAATATCTGATGCTCAATACTAAATACACAAGAACATTCTCTCTTCTCTCTAACATATTTTCTTGAGTTCATTGCTTCATTTATTACTTACATTCATTGTGTTCTATTTATTGTTCTTCATTCATTACTTATTATTGGCCATAAAGAGCCGTCATTGATTTTATTATAATTGTTAGTCGTCCATCGACTACTCTCGATAGTTCCCAGCCGAGCGCTTGACTCGACCCCGAGGCCCCCGAATAGGCGAGCTCGAGGCCCCAATTGGCAGTTATTCGATTTGATCAACATCTCGTTTTTAAGCTCTTATCTCCCTTCTAAGTCTTTCACATTGCATCAACTGTTTAACAACTAGCATAAAAATAGATCACGTATTTTTAGAACCTCACCAAATCAAATTTAATTGTTATTACCATTTTCAAATTAAACAAAACCAAATTTATTCCTACAAACACTTATTTTCAATTCACACTTACCCACGTACACATCAACCTACCAATCAATTGTCATGATTCAAAACCAACCGTTGTGATGGTGCCTATCGTGGAACTAGGCAAGTCAACTACTCA